GAAATTTTTCACTGGAAATTGATCAAATATATATAAACAAATAATACTGTATTTCATTGATTCTCAGCTGCCATCAATCCTAAGATGCTTTTGTATTTCATATATTGAAAAAAAAAGACTGTCAATTAAACAGCAATATATTTTCTTATCACATTGTTTAGATGTGTCCAAATTTCAAAGATACTAAAATATTTTTAAAGTATATATTAAAATCTCTTTCTATATAGGACTATGCTTTGATTGCAAAGGTCAGTAGCTTAAATACTACTGTTCATAGTATTTCGTTTTAATAAGAGTAACTTATGATGTCAAAAAGTCTTTCAAGCCAGGATTTATGTAGAACATGTAAAACATATAAATTATTCTACTAGCCTGCAATTTGGGACAGAGTGACAGGCCTTTCATTTTATTATTAAATATTAGAAGTTCAAAGAAGGCCATTCTCAGTGTAACTTGATGTGCTGTAAATTTTGAACCTGGTATCTGTAGACCCAGATTTGAGACCCTGCCTCAAATGTCTGTCCCTTATCAGATGTGTAAACCCAACTGACTTATTACAGTTTTCCAGAACTTCAGTTTCTTAGGCAGTCCACAAAGGAAGAGGATACTTGCCAAACTGAGTGGATGAAGAATACAAAACAGTATTTATAGGCAGTAAAAGGTTACACCAATGGGAACTGTTAGAGTTCTCAGAGCCTTACATACCCTGGAACTAAGGATTTCTGGGGGAATTCACTGAAGTGAAGGACTGTGGAATGTGGTGACATTTTCCAGGACACGTGATTCCATAGAAACAGAATGTGCAACTGAGGGTGGGAGAAGGGCTTAAGAAATTGGAAAAAAATGCCATCATGAGTATACAGCAAGGTAGAAAAATGTGACCATTGTATATAAATAAGGGCTGGAGTCGCTTGGAGTGGTTTGAATCTCAGCAGTTGGTTGTTAACATGTGCACTTTCACCAGTTGCTATCAAGGTGGCACATGGGAAAAACAAAATCAGCACTTTGGTTAATTAGAAAGCAGAAAATGGTCTGTGGCATACTCTCTTCTTACAGTTGATTTCTTTTTAATATAATATATAAATATAATAAACTATAACCTCAATTAAATTAACTCAGTTCGAATTCCAAGCTATTTTTAGTATTTCTTTCTGGTTCGTGGTAAGAGGGGCTTATCTAAATATGGATAAATTTGTAGCTCCTCAAAGAAATCCTGTGAGAAATACATCCCCAAAGAATAATACAAAACTTATTGCCATTGTCCCAATAATAATGCTCCAAGAAGAAATTTATTATAAATAATATGAGTAGTTGGTTATAAATAGAATCTAGGAAGGGGTGAGTAAAATTGGAAATAATTTTTCAGATGGAAGACATACTGTGGGGGCAGGGAGGATAAGTGGCTTTCGGATGTTTTCACAGCTGTTAACTGCCAGTGCTAGATTTTGATTAAATCTGAATCCTTGTCCACTTTACAGGAGTAAAGAATTAAGAAGTCAAATACTTGGTGGCTTTTGGTGCTGAATCCTTGAAAGGGAACTCTGAATTACCCATGTCCACTTTGAGGGTTAGTACCTACTGTTCCTGGGGGCAATGGTGATTCAGTGGTAGAATTCTCATCTTCTATGTGGGAAACCCAAGGTCTATTTCCAGCCAGCGAACCTCATGCACTGGCAGCCAGCATGTGTCTGTCAGTGGAGAATTGAGTGTTGTGACACTAGATAGATTTTAGCAGAGCCTCTAGATTAAGACTAGGAAGAAAGGCCTGGTACTTTACTTTTGCAAAACAACCAGAGAAAACCCTACGGATCACAATAGTCCAGTCTTTAACTGCACACGAGGATGGTGCAGGATGCGGCAGCATTTTGTTCTGTTGTGCATGGGGTCCCTATGAGCTGGGTGTGATGCAACTCAATGACAGTTAACAGCAGCAGCTCACTGTTAATAAGTCTAAACACTGTAGCCACATCTTGTGTGATCTTAGCCTGGTCACTTCCCTTCACCCCCCTTGGATCTCAGTTTGTATATTTGTGAAAAGATGAGATTGGACCAGATTGCAGATGGCATGTGAACTATGACTTCTTCCATGCTAGCCTTGCAGTTTTTGCTGCTCACATAGATTAGCAAAAACTGATAGTGACCCTATAGGATGTAGATTATGGAGCTATGGCCTCCAAATCCATCTCACTCATCCGCAGGCCTCTAACTATATCTAACTGATTGCAGCTGGAAACTAGAATGAACTCTGTTGGCCGTTCTGGACCAGATGATTTCCAGGGTCCTTTTTTCTTTCTTAAGATTGTCTAGAATTCCCAAACCTAGACCGGTCTTCTCCCCAAGGCACTTTATTTAGAGGATTTCAGTAGCAACCAGTGAGTGAAGAAATTGAGGAAAATATATGATTCCTGGCAGGACAAAAGACTCCAGGAGTGCGATGGAGTGAATCCTACTCACCCTGTATGTGACAAATATTTTATGCTTACAACCATCTTCAAAAAGAAAGCAAACTTTGCCTTTGAGTCAATTCTGATGCATGGTGACCCCATGTGTTGCAAAGTAAAACTGACTCCCTGGAGTTTTCTTGGCCGTAATCCTCACAGAAGCAGATTGCCAGGGCTTTCTTCCACAGTGCCAACCTTTTCTCAGCTTAGTGCAAACCGTCTGTACCATTCAGAGGCCTATAATCATCCTCTTAAGCTCTTTATAAAAAGGAGCAGCCACATCCAGACAGGAGGGGCTCCCTGGAGGATCTCAGAAGTGACTCTTCTCATCTCAGGCCTTGCCTTCCCAGTATGAGGACATTTTGAGTTTTTCAGGGCAAAGACAGACAGACTTTTTTTTTTTAATTCCTCACTAGGGACAACTCATTTGCAAAGGATTATATTGCACATGAATTGCACTGATAGAAAATTGGCAGTTTGAAGAGGAAAGAAATGCACTTTGTCCTTTGTCTTGTAAACTGTCTAACGTTAAGTTATTTATTTAATCACACGTTCTTTGTGTTAGGTCTTACCAAATAGGGGGGTGTTTTGGACATTTGTGTTAATGTTTACATTCCATAGCTCTTGATTCTGTGGCTGTTAACAACTGTGTCTAGCCTAAGCAAGAGGCACAGCAAAGATGACCCTGACAGTGACGAATTTCCTAGCATAGTGTTTCTCAGCAGTAACCTTCTTCCCAGTTGTGGCTATTATTTCATGGATCCTTTTTAATTCTCCTTGAGCACTGGTTTGTGGATTGTATGAAGTATGAAGAGCTAAAGCTTTTTTTTATTTCTCTCTATTTTTCTTGCTGCTGCTTTGCGTAAATGATGATATCTCCCGCCACATCTGCCACATAATCAATGTTTTTCAACACTCCAACACTGGTTGCCTCCCACAGAGACACGTGCACATGTTGTAGTCTCTATCCACACTCCCACCCCCACCCCCTTTTTGCTGTAGCTGGAACAGATGCCCTTGGAGTGGTGGATGTGACTTCTCAGACCCGGCTTCACACCCCTCCCCCATTCTGATGCAAATATCTTTTGGCATCTCGAAAAGAAGGATTAGCCCAGGTTGTGTCCTCCTGCAGCCTCCACACGCCCTGTCCCGTCAGTCCGGGGGACTGAGATTTGCCTCCTGCATTGTTGGCCTTCTGAATCTTGTGGTGGCAGCTTCTGAAAGCCTCCTTTGTCCAAACATGCTGCCAGAAACCGGGAGCCTGTTCTTAAGGCCGGGTGCTCTGTCCCCAGGAATCCAAGTAATAACTTAATAGCCTCTGGCCTCCACTTAACAGGGCCTCCCTCTGACAGGGCTTTGTAAGTAGTGCAGCACACAGATGGAGAATGGCAACTTATCTTGGGACTGTCACAGTACTCCTTGTTTCCCAAATCAGGTGCCTTCTCTGCCAGCATGTCTACTGAGAACCGAGGCTTTACAGAGGCTCCATACCTCCTCAAAAGAATTGGACACAAAGGGACAAAAATCAACAGTGTCTGATCTTGCATTGAAAGCTGGAAAGTCAGGATTACGCATTAAATCTCTTTATAACTACCAAACCCAAAACCAAATTCACTGCCATTGAGTCAATTCCAACTGATAGTAACCCTATAGGACAGAGTAGAGCTGCTTCATAGGGTTTCCAAGGCTGTAAATCTTTACAGAAGCAGACTGCCTTATCTTTCTCCTGCAGAGAGGCTTGTGGATTTAAACCTCTGACCTTTTAGTTAGCAGCTGAATGCTTTAACCACTGTGCCACCAGAGCTCCTTTGATACCTACATATTCATATAACCCCCCCTCCACACACACACACACACACACACAGACAATGTACTTTAGGCCTCTTACAATTTTGTCCTTTCAACTTCAGCTTTGGTTGTTGCTTAGCCTGCCCAATGCTAGTTGAATATTTCTTAACCATTTGGCATTGAATGGATTCTAATTCATGTAAACCCTACATGTGTGTCAGAGGAGAATTGTGCTCCATAGGATTTTCAATGGCTGATTTTTTGGAAGTAGATCTCCAGTCTTCTTCTGAAGTGCCTCTGGTTGGACTCAAACCTCTAACCTTTTGTTTATTAGCAGCTAAGACTATTGCACCACTTGGATGGATATTTCTTCAATATATATTTTTTCCCAAACAAAATTGAAGACTTACACATTTCTTACCTTTATTAACATATTTGACTCAAAGGGATAATACAATTCCAAGCTCTGCACCACCCCCTTCCCAATCAAATGATAACTAAACATGGCAACCAGAGACTTGAATGTAAGTTCAGATTGGATCCTTTCATCTAAACACTTTATGATAATTGATTTAAAACATTGGCATTCAAAAGCATGTATACATGTGTTACCCAAAGAGCAACTTGGTCCTTGTTAGGTTCTGATATTGTGTCAGAACATAAATTATTTTTTAAATGATTAGGATTTAGTTCCTATTAAAAGCTCCTTTTTCTTTTTGTACTGCATATTGCTGACGCTGCATTTTTCTTTTCCTTTTTTACACCTTTTAGGAAAGCATGCCTCAGACTCCTCCCTTTTCAGCAATGTTTGACAGCAGTGGTTACAATCGAAACCTCTATCAGTCTACGGAGGACAGCTGTGAAGGGTTGTATTACCATGACAACAACCTCCTCTCTGGATCTCTGGAAGCACTCATCCAGCACTTAGTACCAAATGTGGATTACTATCCAGATGTAGGTATTCATGTTCCTCTAAAACACATCCTTGGCACTGAGCAGAAGTTACAATACAGTAGGCAGGGACCATAGATACTACAGAATTACATCTGGGTTGCTAAGAATTGTTCTAAAAATAAATTGCACATGGATTATGCTGAAGGTGTTGTCTCCTTATTGATAGTGAGTTGCTTTGCAATCAAATTGAGCCTGAGCTCGGAAGGAAGGTTGGGCATTCCTACTTCCGTAGTGATACTGCCTCAGAAACCCAAGGAGGGGTCGCTATGAGTCGGGGCCGACTCGATGGCAAACAACAACAACAACAACATGGACCAGATTTTAGTGTTGACTACATAACTGTTGCTTTTCAGGATCTGCATTGAAAGCAGTCAGATAGCACCTAAATGAAGTATTTTTATGTTTGGATTGGTTCTTAAGAAAAAAAAAAAAAAGATGACAGAGAACATTTGATGCTCCTAAAATACTGAATTTTTAATCTCTTGAGACCACCATTATGCTGAAAAAAGTGAAGTTAACCCAGGGGAAGTAGTAGAAGAGAGAATAAGAGTTATACTCAGCATGCAATTCTTTCTAGCTTGATTATCAGGTGACACATGCTCGTGTGTCGCACCTTGATAACTTACGTTTATACAGATAGGACTTTGTACAAAAATGTGTAAAAAGGTCTTGGAACATCTTTATACATTTTCTCAAACTTTAATTTGGACATGGGCCTACTCTTAGCATCAGCACTCAAACATTTTCTGTCTCTGGGGTAAATTACATTTTTTTTTCTCTTCCTTGTGCCACAGCTGTCCTTTTGGAGTTGAGTTTAGGAATATGATGAGATTTAGTCAGTAGCTGGTTGTTGATAAATGAAAATATTCAGACACTATATTTGTATGTTTTCATCAATATAATCATGACCTTGGTGTACAAAGGATAGTTTGTGCTTGCCACAGTAATTCACCATAATGTTTCTGACTGAGTTATCTCTCTTTTGTGTGATTTGTTAAATAGCATTTCAAATGTGTTGCTACATGGGGCAAACTTGTAATCAAAAGTAAAAGGAATGCCTTGTTCAGCTCTGTAAGTGTTTATGAGCTACTTGGCGCCTAAGGAAAAATAAATAAATAAAACTCCATGGAATTTCTCTTTTCATTGGGAGTCTGAAGCTATTATAACAAATAAGCCCTACTTCATTACTGCCTTCTTGAGAGACAATGTGGTTAAAGAAAAGTATATAGTGTTGTATTATGCTTTATCAAATTGCTGAGCCTTGGAGCAAGCAAATAGATTATTTGAAAGCCCGCCTTTGAATGTTCTAACACAAACACTCCAGTGTGTCACACTGGACACACTGGATAATTCTTTTCTCTTTCTCCTTTGGGAGGCGAGGGGGTTTCCATTGAGTTACCATAATATTTGGACACAGAAGACAATCCTGTATGGGTGGTATATTTAAGTTAGATTTATCTCTCTGGGCTAAATGCCATTCTACTTTACTAGAGTTGAGTTATGTGTCCTGGTATCCTGGCTCCCTGAGAATGGACATGAAAATGTGCTCTGAATAATATGAGGAGGTAAACTTATCCTGTACCTCTGTTATTTTTAGTTTTGTTTAAAGAAAAAGATAAGCCAGAAGGTGAAGGAGAAATCCATCTTACGCTGCTTTTTGCTATTAGTGCACATCACTTTTGAAGCTACAGCCTATTATTAACTTTAATCAAGAGAATGTAATGACATAAGCTGTGTAATATATAGGAGAGAGGTGTTAGTTTCAGAAACAGTGTAAACATGATGACTCTTTTCTCTTGCCACAGAGAACGTACATATTTACCTTCCTACTCAGTTCTCGGTTATTTATGCATCCATATGAGCTAATGGCGAAAGTTTGCCACCTGTGTGTTGAACACCAGAGACTAAGTGATCCTACCAGTGATAAGGTAATGCTTTTTTGAACATTACAATTTTTTCTATTAGGTTTATTAACTTTATAGCTTAATGTTTGTGAAGTTGGTTCCATTAAACAACCCTAGTATATCTCTCCCCCAGCCTCAGGAACATGGGTGGTACAGGTTGTTTGAATGGCTAACTTAAAGGTTGGCAGTTCGGACCCACTCAGTGACTCTGGGGAAGAAAAGTCTGGCAAACTCCTTCCAAAAAGCTTATAGCCAAGAAAACCCTATGGTGCAATTGTACTCTATAACCAGTTGTCATAGGTCAGGCTGATTCTACGGCAACTATCTGTGCATAGGGAGTTGGGAATATTATAAAGAACATGGTATAAATCTAATTCCATGGAGAGACTCCTTGACCCTGCCTTAAGTTGGTGGCACTTGGCATTGCCATACAAGGTAGGGGGAGGCTGCAGCTTCTTCTTGAACCCTAACGACTTTGCACTAGAAATTTACCAGTGATATTATTGAAAATTGTTTCCTTGATGTAGTTCATGCAGCAGATAGAACTGAATTATATTTGCTTTTTCTCCCTAGAACCAGATAAGAAAAATTGCACCTAAAATCCTTCAGCTCCTGACAGAATGGACAGAAACATTTCCTTATGATTTTCGGGATGAAAGAATGATGAGAAACTTAAAAGATCTGGCTCACCGAATAGCCAGTGGCGAGGAGGTTGGTAACCTGAGTTTAGCACAGTGCTTGGATTCCCAGGCATAGCCTTGGTGGGAAATGGTGCTGCACTGTGTGTCAGCATCTCTGTCACTACTTACTTTCTGATTAGTCTGGATAAATCCTCTGCATAATGTATTGATCTATTGGATATGTTAAATGGGGTGATTATATCATTGTACTTCAAAGGGCTATGATCTCAAGTTATATGTGGTTAATTTGAGGTATGTTCATGTCAATTCAGACACAGCATTCATGCTACAAGGACTTACACTTTTCTTCCTTAAAAAGATCTGGACACAGCTATTTAAATAACACATGCCTTAGGCACTATACCACCAGAGCTCCCATAAAGTAAAAAATGTTAATGTATTAATAGATCATATGTTACATATTAATAAATTAGAAATAGATTCTCTAGACCAAGGAAAGGAGAAAACAAATGTACTAATCTTGAGAGCAAATATGGCTACTGTGATTAGAGTTTGAACTCTAGGTAAAAGGAAGCTGTGGTTGGCTACATAAGTCTCACTATCAGAAAAGACAAAGTATATTAATTCCTCAGGGCAATGAATTAAATGAAATTTTAATTCTTATAAGGAGCTCTGGTAGCATAATGCCTAAGGTGCTTGACTGCTAACCAGAAGGCTGGCGGTTCAAACCCACCAGCCACTCCTCGGAAGGAAGGTTGGGCAATCCTACTTCCGTAGTGATACTGCCTCGGAAACCCAAGGAGGGGTCGCTATGAGTCAGGGCCGACTCGACGGCAAACAACAACAACAACAAATAAGAAATAAACTTTATTATAAGGGATATTGTACACAGGCTGTAGAATAAGATCATGGGGAGTGCTCTTTATAGTGTTTACAAGAAATGTCCTTTGACACAAGCCAAGGCCATAAGACAAATATATAAGTTAGCAAAGGTGATTCTTTTAGGGAGGAGAAAAGAAAGAAATGATGCAAACCTTCTAGAGCCTTTTGGATGTTGAATCCAGGCTAGCACCCAGAATATATAGAGATGAAAAACAAGTCTCTTAGATAATCTGCCATAAATATCACTTCCCTCAACTGAGCCTTTGATAAGAACTAACTAGCTGTGACAAATTCAAGGTTATCCCCTTTGAAGCAGGCCTGGAAGGCTGGTATTCTGTGTTGAGGCTTGTTGGGCAAGGATGTCTTTGTAGTTTCTGTGTTGCTGCTGAGCTTCTGTGAGCAGGTTGCTTAGGCACAGATACAGTGTTTTCACAGAAAAAAAATAGATGAAGCATTTGGCGGTTGCAGTGATGGCTTGTTTCTTTAGTCTTAAAAATCCATTTTCCCAGTATGAATAATTTTCCTTTAGAACTCATTGTGCTCCCAAGATCATGTAACAAGGCACCATACCATTCTGTCCACTTCTTAAAAATGTATTTTAATATGATTTTCCCCAACTTAAAAAAAGAAAGAAAAGGAAAGGAAAAAAAACCCTAAAATGATATAAAAATTAGTGCTTGAAAAATTTACAGTTGACTTCCCTGCCTTATGCTGTAGCTCATGAAATAGAATTAACCCTCTTACTGCTCTTATATGACATTTTATTAAATCCTGGTGCTCAAGAGAGCTGTCATTTCTGCAAGGCTGAATGAGTGGTTTCCTGGGTTATTTTGTAAGTTAGGACTGTTATAATCATTTGCTTGCTTACCTGATAAAGATTCCAGCCAGGCATAATTGGGTAGGTTTCTCACAAAGGCAAAAGTTAAGTATCGCAGTACAGATTAGTAGTAAATTCGTATTAGAGGAGTTAGCTTTTGGTTTGCTTGGCTGGGTTGATGCTGGCGCATTGGCCTTGGTTTTGGACAAGATGATACTCAAAAGATCTCTCACTCACCTGTCATTTTGTCATACTGTGGTGGCTTGCATGTTGCTATAATGCTGGAAGCTGTGCTATTGGTATTTAAAGTACCAACAGGATCACCTATGGTGGACAGGTTTCAGAGGAACTTCCAAATTAAGACAGATTAGGAAGATGGACCTGGTGAGGTATTTCTAAGAATTTTGGCCAGTGAAAACTTTATGAATAGCAGCAGAACATTGTCTCATGCCAGAAGAGGAGCCTCACAGGTTAGAAGGTACTCAAAATATGACTGGGGAAGAGTTGCCTCCTCAAAGTAGAATTGACCTTAATAATGTGGTTGGAGTAAAGCTTTCTGAACCTTCATTAGCTTATGTGGCATGATTCAAAATGAGAAAAAAGAGCTACAAACATCCACTAATAATTGGAATTTGGAATGTATAAAGTGTGAATCAAAGAAAATTGAAAGGTGTCAAAAATGAAATGGAACACATAAAGATTGACATGCTAGGCATTATTGAGCTGAAATGGACTGGTGTTGGCCATTTTGAATCAATCATATAGTATACTATGCCAGGAATGACAAATTGAAGAAGAATGACATCACATTCAACATCAAAAAGAACATTCCAAGATCTGTCCTGAAGTATAGTGCTGTCAATGATAGGATAATATCCACATGACTATAAGGAAGACCAGTTAAGATGACTAGTATTCAAATTTGTGCACCAATCACTAATACCAAAGATGAAGAAACTGATGACATATACCCACTTCTGCAATCTGAAATTGACAGAAGCATTGATAATTACTGATGATTGGAATATGAAAGTTGGAATAAAGTAGTTGGAAAATATGGCATTGGTAATAGAAACAACACCAGAGATTGTGTAACAGAATTTTACAACACCAAAGACTTATTCATTGCAAATACCATTTTGCAAACCCATAAACGGTGAGTATTCATGTGGATCTTCCTGGATGGAATACACAGGAATCAAATAGACTACAACAATGGAAAGATACTCTAGAGAACTATAATATCATTAGTCAGTGGCTGACAGTGGAACAGATCATCAATTGCTCATATTCAACTTCAAGCTGAAGCTGGAGAAAATTAAAATAAGTCCATGAGATCCAAAGTACAATCTTGAGTATATCCCACTTGAATTTAGAGACCAGCTCAAAAACAGATGTGATGCATTGAACACTAATGGCCAAAGACCAGACAAGTTGTAGGATGACATCAGGACATCACATATGAGAAAAGCCAAAGATCATTACAAAGATGGGAAATAAAAGTCCCAAATGGGTGTCAAAAGAGACTCTGAAACTTGCTCTTAAACAGAGAGTAGGTAAAGCAAATGTGAGAAATGATGAAGTAAAATCACTGAACAAAGTGTGCCTTGAGAAGACAAAGTATTGTAGTGAAATGTGCAAAAACCTGAAGTTAGAAAATCAAAAGGGAAGAATACACTTGACATTTGTCAAGCTGAAAGAACTGAAGAAAAATTCAATCCATAAGTTGCAATTTTGAAGGATTCTGTGGGAAGAATATTGAATAATGTTGTTGTTGTTGTTGTTATGTGCCATCGAGTCGGCCCCGACTCATAGCGACCCCTCCTTGGGTTTCCGAGGCAGTATCACTACGGAAGTAGGATTGCCCAACCTTCCTTCCGAGGAGTGGCTGGTGGGTTTGAACCGCCAGCCTTCTGGTTAGCAGTCAAGTGCTTTAGCCACTATGCTACCAGAGCTCCTTATGTAGGAAGCATCAAAAGAAGATGGAATGAATTTCCAGAGTCACTGTACCAAAAATAACTGGTCAACTTTCACCTATCTCAGGAGGTTGCATATGATCAAGAACATGTGGTATTGACTGAATGCAGTTTGAGATATTTCAACAAACAGATACAATGCTGGAAGTATTCACTCAATTGTGCCACGAAGTTTGGATGCCAGTTTGAGGATTAAGTGCAGCTGACCCAAACCATGGTATTTTCAGTTACCTCCTATGCATACAGAAGCTGCACAGTGAATAAGGAAGACTGAAGAAGAATTGATGTCTTTGAATTATTGTGTTGGCAGAGAATACTGAAATACCATGGAGTGCCAGAAGAATGAATAAATTGTCTTGGAAATACAGCCAGAATATTCCTTAGAAGTGTGGATGATGTGCTTTCCTCTGTTGTATTTTGGTCATGTTATCAGTAGGGACCAGTCCTTGGAGAAGCATATCACACTTGGTAAAGTAGAGGGTCAGTGAAGAAAGAGGAAGACCCTCAATAAGATGGATTGACACAATGGCTGAAACATTGGGCTCAAACATAGCAATGATGAGGATGGGGCATGACCAGGAAGCATTTTATGAAGTTGTACACTGGGTCTCTATAAGTTGGAACAACTCAGTGGGACCTAACAGCACCAACTCAAAAGATCGTTGGTGTCTTGAGGGTTTTTCCTTGTGTGAAGGCTGAGACCTTGAGTCAGACAGCCAATGCGTTGTCTCAGTCATATTGAGGTACCTGACTTTGTATGTCATATGTCATTCAGCTTACCTTCTTTTGATTGCCTTAATTTTTTTCCCCCTTAAGATAAAAAGTAAGAGTTTTAAAAATGTCAAATGGATGTCTCTGAATCCTCTTGTTATGAGAGTAGAAGAGGGAGATAATTTCTATCTGTGTTGGTCAGAAGGATCTTGGCTGTTTTTATAGGATCAAGCCATTCAGGGGTGAAACTGAGTAAAGGCCCAGCAGCATTCTATCCCTGTCTCCTGATCAGCACATCTATGTCAATAACAGGGAGCTCTGGTAGCGTAGTGCCTAAGGCACTTGACTTCTAACCAGAAGGCTGGTGGTTCAAACCCACCAGCCACTCCTCGGAAGGAAGATGGGGCAATCTACTTCCATAGTGATACTGCCTCGGAAACCCAAGGAGGGGTCGTTATGAGTCAGGTCCAACTCGACGGCACATAACAACATCAGCACATCTATGTCAATAACAGGGAGCTCTGGTAGCGTAGTGCCTAAGGCACTTGACTTCTAACCAGAAGGCTGGTGGTTCAAACCCACCAGCCACTCCTCGGAAGGAAGATGGGGCAATCTACTTCCATAGTGATACTGCCTCGGAAACCCAAGGAGGGGTCGTTATGAGTCAGGTCCAACTCGACGGCA